AACTATTCGGAGTTTCACTCACTCATTAGTTGTCCAAAGCACAAAAAGGAAAAATTAATAAAGTCTTAGACATGCTACTCGCTTGATTGGGGTTAGAATTAAGCTAATTTAAACTAGGAATTACGAGCAATTGAGCAAAGATGCAAACTTTGGAAGAAAGATTTGAACTTTGGTTATTCGAAGTTCCCTTGACTTGATGAAAATGAAAATAAACGAAAAGAAACAAGCTAGCAATAAGATCCTAGGTAATTAAACCGAGTCTTCTTAACAAAATGATCACGCTCTAAACAAAGTTGAGACCTTTATACCAATATATGCACAAATTTAACTCCTAACAGCACACAAGAAAAATAAAGCAAAGTCCTAAAATCGCACATGATTCCGGCCGAGACTCCAACTTAACCTTGATAAACATCATACGCAAGAAACTAAACAAACTCGAAGTAATAAGACATAATCAAGGTACTTAACTCTTCTATAGCAAGCTCGGATGAAAATAATGCGTAAAAAATCAAATCTTGGATAAAAATAATAAAGTCACTAAAAAAGCTGTCGGGAAATATTGGGTCTTGGAGCTCCCAAACACAAACCAAAAAATAAAAGAGATAAATTCCCAAAAGAAAAAAAAGATGGAAATGAAAGCTTAGGTTTTCAAACTACAAAGGCACAAATATATTTATACTACTCCTAAAAACACACACTAAACACACACAATTAGTAGAACACACTCGCAACGTCACGGAATGGGGTTGGGGTCGCGAGTGTGCAAGGTCTGGACGGGGATTAACTCGTGACGCCGCGAAAGGGCGCTCAGGTCACGAAGTGGCACTGGTCTCCTCAGTGATGAACTCGCAGCCTCACGGATTTGGGGTCGGGTCGCGAGTTGCCTTGTGCTCTCGGTAGCACTATCGAGGTCGCGAGTTCGGCCTGCTCCTCTCGGCGCACTCGTGAGGTCGCGAGTGTTGCGTGCTAGCTTGGCGACGCTCGCGTGGTCCTGAGAATGCATCGAGGTTGCGAGTGTTGTAGGCGCAGGCGAGAGCAAAAATACATGACATGTGATAAAATGGACCCGTCAACAACAAAACGAACCTAAAAATACTTGGCTAAGGCACGAAAAACACAACAAAAGGCACAACAAACATTTACCTATAAAGTTTAATCTACTACATAATTTCTTCAAAATCAGATGAAAATGATATACTATCTCCTAAATATAGTTTTCCGGGACATTTGTTTTCCCTTTTCCTGCCAAAGATGAGTGGAGATTCATATATTGGATCCTGCCATTTTTCTTCATATGGTGGATGACTGAGGGCTTCACTATAAGTGTAAATATAGCAATGAGTTTTATTGATAGGTGACAAGTACTTGAGTACACCTTGTAACTAGATCTTGTTCTTCAACCTAATTATAAATATAGCAATGAATTAGATTTATTTACGTGCCAAGAATAGACTCAATGCATTACAAATGTTTTAAATATAGAGAAATGTTAAAAGTACCGTTAAGGAACTATTCCGTCGAATTTTGTAACCATTAGATCATCGTGTAACCGTCTCGTTTTGGATAGTTGATCTAACGGTTACATACTCCGACGGAATGATTCGTAAAATCTTCCTTAAATACTAATTTAATGGTTGGACACTTTGACTTCGCTAATGTACCGGCCAATAACTAACCCCACGTATTCATACTCACAAAATTTCTATTCCTTTAATTGCTTTTTGATTCGTGTTCATCGGTCAACCCATACTCTGTCCTCACTCTGAAGCTAAATCTAAAACCCCCAAATTTCTCCATCTGAAAGCAAAAGAACAAAGGGGATCTCCACAATCTTCTGCCATGCCCTTCTCGGCCATATTAACCTCCTCCCCACACGTCTTTCTCCCGGCGGCGGCAGCCCGCCCCGTTGTCCGCCAGTCAATCCGGTGCTCCTCCGCCTCTATTTCGCCCAAGTTCGACCTCAAGACGTACTGGACGGCGCTGATTAAGGAAATCGATCAGAAGCTCGACGATGCGATACCCGTGCAGTACCCGCACCAGATCTACGAAGCCATGCGCTACTCGGTACTGGCCAAGGGCGCCAAGAGAGCGCCGCCGGTGATGTGCGTCGCCGCCTTTGAGCTCTTCGGCGGGGACCGGCTCGCCGCGTTCCCCACCGCCTGCGCTCTTGAAATGGTTCGATTTCTGAGTATCCTTTTTTTTCTGTTTTTCTTTTTCCGAATGTTTTATGGTTTTCCCTATTGCGTTCTTCTTCTGCTAAGCTGTGTTCCCAATCTCGGAGATTTAAATCTATCTGTTGGTTTGATTGCCTTCCATTTGAAGTGGCGTTGACTGGTGAAATGAGTTCTTTTGATGATTTTTGGTTCTCAAGAGCTTGAGATTGTTAGGCAATACAACGTGATTTAGATTGGTTATGCTTGTCATTACATGAGTAATTATTTGAAATATATATATTTGTGCGAATTTTATGTATTGTCCTGCTTAGGCAGATAATGCAATTAGGGACCCAAGAAGGCAAAAATGTAGTTTCTTTTTGGAGTAAAAAGTCTTGGATATGATCATTTTACGCTGATATATGCTTATTGTTAAATGACTATCCGTTTCGATTTTAAGTTACACTAATGATGCTGACTATAGATTCGGGAAAGACCTCTGTACCAAAGACCACATTTTTCTTGAATACCACAGCTCTATGTTTCCTCGTAGACTGAGATTTTGTTATTCGGTGTTCTTCGTACTGGCTTTAGAGAAGTATCCTCTCTCTATGGATTGTTTACTCATGAACTAAACTTCTGTAGATGTACTCATCCAAAATGTCAATCCTCGAAATAAATAAACCAAACAAACCACGTATTCCATTGTACATTTCAGCCTGAAACAATATTATCGAACATAAATATTTGACAGTCCTCTAAATATTGCAACAATAGTCATAAAAATTAGTCTTTCCAGAAACGGCCAGAACACAATTTCCCAGAACAAAGTCCAAAGATTGCCTAAAGTTTACGCTTCAGCAAAACAGTATTTTCTAATCATTTTCTATATTTCACCAACTGGTGTCACGCATAACTGTAGGTAAAATGTTTGAATTTGAGTGAACTGGGAAATAGGCAACAAAAGAAACTGTGCATATATTTTCCTGTTTTGCTCTATTAGGATGTCAATTGGATTTTGGGATCTTGATATAAAACCAATACTACAAGGTAGGTTTAGGCTGTGTTTGGTAAGCATATAAGCTAGCTTATAGCTAATTTTATTAGCTTATAAGCTTCCTATATTTAAATAAATTTGGTTTGGTAGGACTAGCTTTAAGAAGTTGGAGCCTATCTCATAAATTTCCATAGGTAGCTTTTTAAATAAGACCATTAAAATTTTATATAAGCTAGCTTATTAGTTAATTTTGCCAAACACTCAAATCTCTTTGTTTAGCTTATCGGATAGCTACCATCTTAAAACCAAACTAACAAACAAACAAAACCTTAAACTTTCTTATATCATTGTATAGGTTCACGCGGCATCACTAATCCACGACGACCTCCCGTGCATGGACGACGACCCATCTCGGCGGGGCCAGCCCTCGAACCACACCGTGTTCGGTGTCGACATGGCCATACTAGCCGGTGATGCCCTTTTCCCACTCGGCTTCCGCCACATCGTCACTCACACCCCGACCCGCCTCATCCCCGAGCCCCGCCTCCTCCGCGTGGTGGCTGAGATAGCCCGAGCCGTGGGGTCCACCGGCATGGCTGCTGGCCAGTTCCTCGACCTCGAGGGCGGGCCCAACGGAGTCGACTTTGTCCAAGAGAAGAAGTTTGGCGAGATGGCACAGTGCTCCGCCGTGTGTGGCGGCCTTCTCGCCGGAGCTTCGGAAGATGAGCTCCGGCGATTGAGGAGCTATGGGCGGGCCGTGGGGGTTCTTTATCAGGTGGTGGACGATATTCTAGAAGCTGAGTCGGGCGAGTCGACAAACGGGAGAAAAAAAGGAAAGAGCTACGTGTCGGTTTATGGGGTGGAAAAGGCCAAGGAAGTGGCAGAGCAGCTCAGATCGCAGGCGAAGAAAGAACTGGATGGTTTAGTGAAGTTCGGAGATAAACTTCTGCCGTTATATAGCTTCGTCGATTATGCAGCCGATAGGGGTTTCAGCTTTGCACCTCCACTGTGAGTTTTGGTTACTGGGAAATGACTTTTATCTTTGCTGTGATTTTATAGTTTTTTTTTTTTTTTTTTTTTTTTTTTTTTTTTTTTTTTTTTTTTTTTTTTTTTTTTTTTTTTTTTTTTTGGGTTCATTATGGAAAGCTGTTGTTTGTTGTGGTTGTATCTTGTACTCGAAACTGGCCAATATATCAAACTAATCCTTTTTTTTTTTCTTCACAAGATTTCATTTGAGATTTTATTTTTTTCGTCCTCTTTCTTAGAGATCCGCCCCTAGAGTAAACTATTCATTAGTTGGGTTTAGACCGTGGGGATAGATATTCTTATTCAAAAGAAAACACAGCAAAGTACCATAATACATTATTGCCAACAGGAGAATCAACACCCAAAACAAAATACATAACACAACACCAAAACACAGAACACCCAAACTACACAAAACAAAGACTAAAAAAATGCCCTACCACCAACCGAACAACCACTTTGCACTACCGGAGCAAGGACGACGACCGAAATCCAGAAACTTCCTTCAAATACTGACGGCCGACTAAACTCGGACCACTGCCCTGTAAACCTCCCAAACGAGCCCGCCGGGAGCATCAGGAGAAACACAACCCCCAAACAATTCGGCGGTTGTCCCAACCGCATGGCCAAAACCGAGCCGGAGGAAACTGTCACACCAAACCAGGGGTAGCAGGAACAAGGGGGAAGGTCAAGCCAAGTCGAGCCAGACACCCAAGAGGATGCACACCTCCGCCTGATGGAGCCGCCGGCGCAACCCACAACCCGCTCCGTCGCCCGCTATGGTCGCCCTCAGTAGGGGAAGTGCCATGCACGGGACGATGCACACCTCAGCCTGATGGAGCCGCCGGCGCAACCCACAGCCCGCTCCATTGCCTGCCATGGCCGTCCCCAAGCAGGGGAAGCGCCATGCAAGGAAGAGTAGTCGCAAAGACGCCACTAGACCATCTTCCGTCCTGGAGTTGGTGGAAGACGGCTAGCTGTTGGTGAGAAGGCCTCAAAATGGACAGAGAGAGGGCCTAGGGTTTACGGCAAGTTGGGAGAAAAAGGAAGGGAGTGGGGGTAGGAGAAAGAGG